GGCTGTGACACGAACTGCACTCAAGCTACTAACGACCCAAGTAGTTGCCGCGGCCCAGACTGAAATACTCGCTCTCTCGAAATGACTTGTGCCGGGAGAGATGGCTCAGGGCATCGACTGCTGACACTGCTGGCCCTCTGACCGGGAGGTCCTAGGCCACTAGCTTGTCTAGCACTAGCTTGTCAGCTTGGTCGAATTCTGTCGCTGTCTGGAGGAGAATTCTAGCGGCCGGCTGTTCTGATCGGTAGTTTTTCTTAGTTTATCCGATCAATACCAGGCGAATTCCGGACCACACTAGCTACGGATCGCGCGCTATCTTTCCTACCTCTTCCTTGCCCTATCCTCTCCCTTTACACACATACTCTAACACAAGCACAAGTGCCGGGAGACCGGTCGGTAACTTAGATCTTGTCCCGCCTGGGGCGGTGCCCCTCTAGCGGGAGATACCTGGTCGTGGAAAACCTCACTAGCCGACAGTAGGTCGGCGCCGGATCTCGGCCTACAACGAGAGAAAGATCACCGCCGCCTCCCGAGAAAAAAAACATGTACTACTCTTATGGGACTAATGATCCTGGTAGTTGACGTACCCGGAATCACTAAAAGCATCAACCGAACAATCGAAATGACTTGCAGTTTCTGGCCCGTTTCGTTTTTGCGAGGCGGCGGTGGTGAGCCAGCGAGCGCGTGAGGCGACAAGGGTGGCGCGGGGCGGGGGCACTCACCGCGGCGGGTGACGCGCGGGCGGGCGGCGGCGGCGGCGCGCGCGCGCTCGCGTCTCCGCAGTTCGTGCTGGCGCGCCCACGCGCGGCAGCAGGAGCACAGGAAGAAGCACAGCACCACCGCCAGCACCACGAGAAACGCGCTCGTCCACATGGCCCCTGCCTGCGACCTGCCTGCGACTGCCGCCCGCGCGCCGCTTATCGCGCGCCCGCGCTATCGCCCGTCGCCCATCGCCTATCGCCGATCAGGCCTCCTCGGCCGCGATAAGTAGCCCCGCGAGGACGGCGCTCGAGGCGAAGCCACTCCGCAACTATGTAACCACCGCGCGGGCCATCAAGGGCGACCGGCGCGGCGGCGAGAGCGCAGCGGCAGCATCCGTGCGTCCGCAGCGGGTTCGAGTGGCGGATTTTTACTTCCTCGCTCTTGAGAAAGTATTGCAATCGGGCGACGGGAACCGGAGAATTTTCGACATAAAAACGGCCCGGTTCTAGCTCAGTCGGTCCTATTCCCTTTACTCGTATAAAAACTAGCCAATTGTAACACTTTCCTTAACTTAAGATTCAGTGATGGAAGGCATTGTAAGTTAAAGCATGCATGGGCATTCAAAATA